GTGTGTGTGTGAGAGGAAGGGATGGGTGATGTTCATGTGTGCGCATGTGTATGATGTGGCTCTTTGCGGTAACACAGTAAAAAAATGTGGCTCTTGGTCTCTGACTGGTTGGCCACCCCTGCCCTAAATGTTGCCTTACAAATAATCATTTTGTCTGAACAACAGTTAAATGCCACGCTAGCGACTCTGCACTTAGGCACAGCAACGCTTTGAGCTAAATGCTAACATCGGAACTAAAGTGCTCATATGGTAATGTGAGGTGATAAGATGTCATGTTTGCCATCTTACTTTAATAACCCTATACACAAAGTACAGTGGAGGCTTGATAGGCATGTCGAGCATGTACAGGTATTTGGTTAAATGAACAAACAATTTGACCAGACGATGGTGCTGCAATAGGGAGTTAATATATTCTGAAAGGCACATGTATGTATGCCTGCATCACGTTTCAAACAATCCATCCAATAGTTTGAGACATTTCATTTAGGGCTGTTGCTAACGATTATTTTTCTGTCGAATAATCTAACGATCATTTTTTCGATTAGTCGAATAATCGTTTATATATACAGTGCCTTGCGAAAGTATTCGGCCCCCTTGAACTTTGTGACCTTTTGCCACATTTCAGGCTTCAAACATAAAGATATAAAACTGTAATTTTTTGTGAAGAATCAACAACAAGTGGGACACAATCATGAAGTGGAACGAAATTTATTGGATATTTCAAACGTTTTTAACAAATAAAAAACTGAAAAATTGGGCGTGCAAAATTATTCAGCCCCCTTAAGTTAATACTTTGTAGCGCCACCTTTTGCTGCGATTACAGCTGTAAGTCACTTGGGGTATGTCTCTATCAGTTTTGCACATCAAGAGACTGAAATTTTTGCCCATTCCGCCTTGCAAAACAGCTCGAGCTCAGTGAGGTTGGATAGAGAGCGTTTGTGAACAGCAGTTTTCAGTTCTTCCCACAGATTCTCGATTGGATTCAGGTCTGGACTTTGACTTGGCCATTCTAACACCTGGATATGTTTATTTGTGAACCATTCCATTGTAGATTTTGCTTTATGTTTTGAATCATTGTCTTGTTGGAAGACAAATCTCCGTCCCAGTCTCAGGTCTTTTGCAGACTCCATCAGGTTTCCTTCCAGAATAGTCCTGTATTTGGCTCCATCCATCTTCCCATCAATTTTAACCATCTTCCCGGTCCCTGCTGAAGAAAAGCAGGCCCAAACCAGGATGCTGCCACCACCATGTTTGACAGTGGGGATGGTGTGTTCAGGGTGATCAGCTGTGTTTCTTTTACGCCAAACATAACGTTTTGCATTGTTGCCAAAAAGTTCGATTTTGGTTTCATCTGACCAGAGCACCTTCTTCCACATGTTTGGTGTGTCTCCCAGGTGGCTTGTGGCAAACTTTAAACGACACTTTTTATGGATATCTTTAAGAAATGGCTTTCTTCTTGCCACTCTTCCATAAAGGCCAGATTTGTGCAGTATACGACTGATTGTTGTCCTATGGACAGAGTCTCCCACCTCAGCTGTAGATCTCTGCAGTTCATCCAGAGTGATCATGGGCCTCTTGGCTGCATCTCTGATCAGTCTTCTCCTTGTATGAGCTGAAAGTTTAGAGGGACGGCCAGGTCTTGGTAGATTTGCAGTGGTCTGATACTCCTTCCATTTCAATATTATCGCTTGCACAGTGCTCCTTGGGATGTTTAAAGCTTGGGAAATCTTTTTGTATCCAAATCCGGCTTTAAACTTCTCCACAACAGTATCTCGGACCTGCCTGGTGTGTTCCTTGTTCTTCATGATGCTCTCTGCGCTTTAAACGGACCTCTGAGACTATCACAGTGCAGGTGCATTTATACGGAGACTTGATTACACACAGGTGGATTCTATTTATCATCATTAGTCATTTAGGTCAACATTGGATCATTCAGAGATCGTGCATGGTGCTGTTGTGAAACGCCATTTCTGCTTTGCAGAGCTGGCAGAGCACCATGTTGTTTGGTATCTGTTTAAAATACTGCCAAACCTTTGGTGACCGCAGTCGCGGTATTTTTCGCGTTCCCCGCACACGCGATGCTGCTAGTGCTATGTGTATCCATGCTCGCGTTACTGCCTACTTCCTACTAATCTTCTTCTACGTCCTTTTAAAGGGCGGTTGGCATCCAGCTTTTGGCGCATTACGACCACCATCTGCTCTGGAGTGTGAAACATGAAACCTGTCTTACAATTTTTTTTTTTTGTTTTCTACATATGACAAGTCGACGATTAATATGCAAATCGACTAATTATCATAATCGATTAAGTCGATTAAGTCGAATAATCGCTACAGCCCTAATTTCATTCATAACTACAAATGACAACTTCATGGTAGTGCTACAGAAAATGTCAGGTCAATCACCAAAGTAATCCAGTCCATCATTTAAATAATAAGGAATTTGTTTCCGGTACAGAAACGAGGCAGCCATCCGTGGCGCCAACTCAACCAATGGCACTAACCATTGGGGTTAACGAGGGGGGGGATTCAGTGTCTTGCCCAAGGACACTTCAACATGTGGAGGCACCAAGATTCAAACCTTCAATCTTCCGGTTGGGAGACAACTGCTCTACCCACCGCACCACTGTCGCCTCCCCAAATGTAGTTCCCATACCGGGAGTTGAACCTGGGCCAGGAATCCTAACCGCTAGACCATATGGGTAAAGGCTGTAAACCATTATAAAGCCTCATCCGGTTCTTTCAAACCAGGAACTCCGAGGGACGACTCAGACCACTTGAGTATATAAAAAATATAACCGTGCTGGTTTATTCAAAGAGTCACAGGCAAGAATTCACACTTCCAGTCCAGAGATCTTCCAACCCCCAGGCTGCCAAAGCAGCCCGGAAACAGAAAAGACCCCGAACCAAGCATTGCTATACAATATTAATCATTTCTGGGCTGTCGAACCGTGACGTCACCTGATATGCCAGCTTGGCAGCTGAGCAGAGCAGTAGACAAAACATGAAGAAAATAATGTGTGTGGCTGTTGTTTTCGTGGTGTGTATCTAAAACAATTTGACATAACATTACACATTAAGACAAATATTATGGTTACTTTTACCGTCATAATAACATTCGTCCCTGACTTCAGCCCTTCTCTGCCTTAACTATCCTTGCATTTAACAGCCTGAGGAAGACATCCTGCTGCACTAAACATTCTTAGACAACAAATCTCTGAACATCTATCTAACTAAGAAATAACCTAACATGGGAATATGTCCCATATAAATGTCTTAATTCCAAAATTTTTCAAACTGCTTGGTTACGCTTATTTTACCCAGGATGAAATGGATTTGAAATTTTTGTTCCCATTTTATTCAGTTTTGTGCTTTTCTTTTGAAAGTGCCATTTACTCACTGTGCTTGTCTGTCACTGGGAGCCTAAGCTAATGTTAAGATGTTTTCTTGTGGTTTGTTTTGCTCCCGAGTGCATGTTTAACTTACATCATCTGTAAACCAATAAACAGTTACAGTCCTGCAGGCAGAACAGCTCCCCATCAACCCCTTATAACTGTACTCAACAGTGTGTACATAATGAGATGCCATTCCTTCATTTTCTTTATGAAATGTACTGTGTCAGCTTCAGTCTTCTGCATATTAAATATTATGCAGTCATATGTGAGTCTGTTTCATGTGGAAGTGGCATATGAAATGTACTACTTTTATTACTACAGCTGCAGTACTTGTCGTCGGACCCCCAAGGAGCTCCCACGGTCTAATGATACCGGCATACTTATCCTGTCATATTTCAAGTTACCAACATTACAGAAAGAGATGGCAGAGTATTTTCTAAGACGACTTATGTTGCCATTACTTTCATGTTTCATGTGTAGGGGGAAATGATCTGCTACAGAAACTGATGGCCAATGTGATATTTCAAAAGGTTACGCTGCATCTTGCTCAGCGATTGTTTTCCACAGATTTATATTTGTTTAAAGGGGGGTTGTGGTTGTCAGCGATAACAAATGCACTGACAAATAACTGGGCAGTGTGCCATTTGGAATTCATTTAGCAAGACAAGGTAGTGATAAAGGCGCCACCCCGACTGTCTGCGTGCGACACTTCGTAAATCAAAGAACAGCATGGATGAATTATACTGGTGAGAAAGTCTCTCTTCTGAAGGACAGCAGCTGTGTGTCTATTTACAAGCAGCTGGTCTACAGCATAGGTCAGCGCTCACTCCTCCTCTTTCTGTCCTTTTGAAAATGTTAGACCAGGCCAAGTTGCAGAGAGCAATGAAAGACAGAATACCGATTCACTTTAGCTGCTTTAAGACCACTGTAAAATCTGCATATTAAATGCTTTGTCTATATATTATTCATTCATGTCCTGTGATCAGTGTGCCAAATCTATTAAATTAGACAGGCAATAAACTAGCAGAGGGTTGCTTAACAGTTTTTAATGATACCTGCTAGAAATCAAATCAGGTTTTATTACTACAGTATAACCAGGGAGTTAACCTTTTGTGTGGTCAGAAATGAATTGTGTTTTAAGATTGAACTAAATCAATGTAGCGTTATTTTATGACAGTGGATCAGATGACTAATTATAACTCTCTCGGTGTGTGTGGCTCTAAATCCATTTTAAGGAATGAGACAGTGATAGGCTATTCCAATATATTATATGTAATGGTAAATTTGTTTTCATGATGAGATAATATAGAAAGATAGAGAGAAATTCGGTTTTCCGAAACACTGCTAGTTTTGACATCAAGCTCAATTTTTCATAAAGTACACAGCAGCTTTGATTTCCTGATGACGGCAAAATGTGTTTAAAAGCCATTTATAAAACAGCTTCCATAAATAATGCAAGCCACTGTGCGCAAATTTAAATATATCAGAAGCCAAGCAAAATCTCATCAAGCAACTCACACTGCACACAGATACAATGAGGACCCATCTGCCCACTGAGCAATTTTGATTATGATTAGAGAAACCCTTCTGGAGAGGTAGCAAACTTACATTTTGTGTGCTTCAGCCAAAGTTGTCCCAGCCAAATGGTCTGTAATAAATGTGATTTCAATCAACAGTCTAGATCCAAGGGTAAAAATTGTGTTCCACTTTGGGTGAAATTTATTTATCAGTTTCTTTCTTGGATTCGGCTACCTAGCTGTAAGAAGACGACAGCCACATTCTGAATCCTGCCTACTGAGCTCTAGTTGGTCAAGTGTTTGGTCCATTTTCCTACTCTCCACGCCGACCCAGAAGGTCTCCACGCTGAACGCGACTACACAGTAAAATGGCAGAAAACAATCAGCCTTTTTTCCTATGTAAAAAAAAATGTACTCAGAAGTTCGTTTTAAGCTCAAATACAGCTTCGGCTGCAACACCAAGCTAATTCGTGTTGGTTTCTTCCAAAGGTACAAGACTAATTAACTAATGCAGGCCTCAGGTTTTCCAATAATGCAGTTCCCTGCTGAGCTGCGGCGGAAGGATACATGCTGGTAGTCCTGTTCCGTTACCAGAGCAGGTGTTGTACTTAATTAATTGCATCATCAATATCGACACATCTCTTGGGTTTCATAATATGCACTTGGGAAATATGTTGGCATAGCAGGCGTTCGCTTCTATAAAGACCAGTCAGTGTCACTGTTAGACTCTAGATAAACTGCTGTGGCCTTTATAGTAACATTATCTTACATAGCCTGCATTAGTTAATTAGTAAATAATATACACCTACCCCGAAGTTACTGTTGGTGATGACACAGCCAGGCTCCAGAGTATCTTTCACATCTGCTACCACGGAAATGGGTTCCACATACACTGCTATTATATTCTCAGCTCGGTCCTTTGAGTATCTCTCAAGTGAAATCCGTAGCTTTACCCTCTCTTGTTCCTTTCAGAACATTTGCATAAATGACACGAACCGTGCTTTGCAGTATTCAACATATAGGCATATAAATTAACTTAAACGGGGGAAAGCTGGAGTGACGCTGCACAACTATAATCCAGACGCCGAAGCAGGTTTTACAGGTGCCACCCCCCAAACTTTCCACCTACAAAATCTGCAAATTCATTTCCAAATTAACTCCGAACACAGCTTGAGAAATATCACAGGTGTAACAGCAAACCTACACTAATTGAACGTATCCCTCCGCCGCAGCTCAGCAAGGAACTACTATCCCGGGAAAAACATGTAAATACACATTATATCGACTATGAATCTAAAAGATATCTACGGGGATTATGTTAGTGGGACGGCAGAAGCTTCACTTGATCGTCAGACAAACTGTGAAGTGCATTTTTACACAGAACGAGGGCTGTGCATGTTGTCCTTTGTTTTTTACAGCATAGTCGCGCTGCGTGCCGATGATGTATCCATCTCGACCAGAGTGCTATCACTTTCAACAGCCAGAAAAGTTTAGAGATGCTGAACATGCTTCAGTCACTAACGAATAAACAAATCAATACACAAATAACTCAGAGATCAAATCACGTGGCAGGAAAATGTTTGTCTTGCACTTTTCAGTCCTGCAAGTGAGATGCAGGCAACCATATTTTCTACTGTAATACTAGTGGTCAGGACATTGATTGGGAGTGCTTGTTTGGAAAATATAACTTCAAATGATACCAGCTCGGATGAAATATGTGAAGATCCATATTTCTCTCCGCAGTGTATCTGTGTTGTGTATACAGAGTTCAATATTTAACCATTCTAGAGAAGCTGGAATGTGCTGAGATAGGCAAAAACTACAGTGCAGCTTCTAATATTTGTGGTATGATTTATTTTAATAAATTGTTTTAGAGGTGAGACATGGAAGGAAATAAAATTGTGATTTTCATACAAAAAATGGCATTATGGTAAACATGATCTTATCTTTTATCATTTTGTAGCTACTTCATTGTCATATCAAGTGTTGTTAGGGGACAGAGTGTGTTGTAATGTATTATTCAAAGTCACCCGACCCGTCATTGTTTATAGAAGTGGATTCAGTTTGACTCAGATGTGCAATTGGTTATACAACTTTGTCAATAAATCATTTTAAGAGCAGTGGCAAATGAGTTATTGTACAGATGTTCTCTGGTCTTTGATAATTGATGGAAAGTACCCAGACATGAAGTGTTCAGTTTGCCCAGTACATAGACTCTTTATTTTTGCCCAATAAAAGGATCAGCTGAGGTCAGCGAGTGCTTTGCATAGCTGCCAGTTGGGGAAAAAAACCCATTTATTTAGTGGTAAACTCTTAAAAGATAAGACTGGTGCTATTATCTGTTTGTCTTGTTGGCTCACAAATACCATGAAAATAAAAACCAGCTATCGGTCTCTCTACACCTCCTGACTTTTCCACCCTGTCAGTGGGACTCAGCCTCAAATCCATTGAGTCCTACTGAAGAAGGGCCAAGTAATTAAAATAAACAATATCACCAGCTTTATCCTATGAAATGTACACTGCAGCTGAACAAGATATGACCTGTCACGGGAAATGGCCCAAATATTTTGTAAAATATGAGATCGGGGACACATGAGGCTACATGTGGAAAATAACATTTATGATGAGTAGCCTATACATTCAAAACAAGAATATATGGCACATGATGATGATAAAATATTTTAGAATCAGGTCAGTCGCGAAGTCAGTTTATAACAACAGACTTTTTGAAGGTTACCCTGAGTATTTCATGTAGGGCAGGGAAAGTGCCCGGCTTTATTTCTTAAGCTGAGTGGCAGATACAGCACAACGCTTCATTGCGCTCAGAGCCCTTTACTCTGGGCTCAAGCATGTGGCCTTGATTTAGGTGATTGAGCACATCCCATTTATATTCAAGCAATCAGCAATCACTCATAGAGAGACATGCACACACAATCCCAGTGACACACTCTCACTCTTTCTCTTTCCTGTGCTCTCTCAGCCAGCAGTGCTCATTACACAGCTGAGGTGAGTGAGAGAAAGAAAAGCAGAGACAGAGAGATCGCAGACTCGGGGGAGATCTACTCCTACACCAAGCTGTTCAGTCCATGGCAGGAGTCAGAAAGTCAGTGATCCTGGCAGCTGCTGCACCATGCCCACTCGCCCTGCTCCCTGTCCATTCTGCCAGGGAGGTCTGGAGCGACAGGCCCCAAGACTCCAGTCTCCCGGCCCACCGGCCCCTTTCTCATACAGTGTGGATCAGGTGCTGAATTTTCCTGCAAGGGACTTCAAAGGAACAAGTAGGGTGCACAGGTAGATAATGTAAGGACAAGATAATACTGAGAGGTCTCTTCAATGCCTCAGAAGATTTTTCATTTCAACTTGCTACCATTTGAATGTAAGACCAATATTTTCTACCATTTGGGTCATAAAACCAAAACTCTTAGCTAAAAGAAGCCAAAAAAGCCCTGTAGTACTGAAGACATAGGGAACAATTCTCATGTGATTTCATCACTTTCTGGACTCCTTTTACATTTCACATTGCAGTAGGCATTTGATACATATAGTTGTGTTATTTTGTTCCTCATACACCCATACAGTATAACACACTAGCTTTAATTTGAGTTGACCAACACCTCTCAAAAAGTCTCAACAAAAACACTGTAGGCTTCACAGAGATGGTGTTTATTGGAGTGGTGAACTGTGCGTACCGTGCAGATGGTCATGACCAAAATGACAGGTAGTTACAGATGCTAGAGTCATGTGGTTCATAATACAGATGTTGCAAAACATGGCTATGATGCTTTTGTACAAGTGTAGGTGCAAGACTGGTGACAGTTTAACAAGAGTAAGGTTGACACAACGTCAGAGCCGCTCCACTGGAAAACCACAGGAATTAAAAGCAACTGTGCTTTTGCAGAGTCAATTATTTTTGGGTAAAATGTGATAGCAGCACTAGTTTTTTTGTTCCTTTTCTTTTGACAAAACTCGCTCCAAATCCTGCAGCTGTCTGTCAAGACTTCACATACATTCACAAGATTATGAAAGGGAGCTGTCACTATGGAGGATTATGTTAACAGCATAATTAGACCGTTGCTTTGCTTGCAGTGTTGATAATAGCCACTATTGTGTTTATATAATTGTAGCCAATTATCAAGGAAATAATCTGTTATGTTGATCAAATAAATTACACATAACATTCTGCATGTATTCAAAGTTATGATTATTTCAATCACCCATCCATTTTCTATACCACTTATTCCTGAATAGGGTCATGGGGGGGCTGGAGCCAATCCGAGCTGACACAGGGCGTGAGGCGGGGTCCACCCTGGACAGGTCGCCAGTCTATCACAGGGCTGACATGTAGACAAACAACCACACACCCACACTATAGAGTCGCCAGTCAACCTAAGTTGCATGTCTTTGGACTGTGGGAGGAAGCCGAAGAACTCGGAGAGAACCCACACAGGCACAGGGAGAACATGCAAACTCTTGGGCACGGTTGGCACGGGCTCAAACCTGGAACCTTCTTGCTGTGAGGTGACCACGCTAACCACCACACCACTGTCACAACAGTGAGGAGGTGTTGTTGTTGGGTGGTAGCAAATTAGTCAGAG